CGAAAATAAAAATTACCTTTCATTACGTCGGAATTCACAATTATTTTATGACTCACAGGTAAGAAACTTTTCATGAGTATCATTCCATGCAGTTGACACTTTTGAATTATTCCCTGAAAATAAATAAGTTATAAAATCATATAATGCTATGCTTAGGAACGAATAATACATTTAATAATAAGTAAAATAAAGCTAGAATACTTTTTTAAATTAAAAACTACTACAAACATTATTTCAGAAAAAAGAAAAAATATGATGAAATGTTTCCAAATTAACTCAAAATAAATTAAATTTATAAAGTTAAAAGATCATATTTTACTTAAAATAGTTGATCCAAGGTTATATAAAAAATAGAACACAATTTTAAAAACAGGAGGATTTTATATCATATGTACTAAATTTTGAACTATACAAAGAAAACTTTATAGAACTCAACTGGTATGGTGCAGTTACAAAAGAAGCTACTTGCAATGATGATTTCCCTCGTATAAAATATCATGCAATACTTTTTAAGACTTCATCTGCGTTTCAAATTATTTTTCTAAAAAGAATAATTGTAAAGCAGAAATGACAAAATATAAACCAATTTTGGAAAATAGCTGTTTAATATATGTGTATATATGCAGGTACACATATTAAGAGCTATTCTTAAAAATTAGTTCACATTTAATAATTTTTGCTCAAAGTTCAAAATGTAGAGAAAACATGGAAAAATTACAGAATATTGAAAAAAGAAAATTATTTTTAAAGAAAAAATTAGAAAAAAAATTAATAAAAGTCCGGGGGTAAAAAAATAAAGTATAGAATGACGGATGTAGTTACATGACTATGTCCGCTATTTCTTTAGTGATCCTCACACTATTGTATTGATGTATTTTGTAAAGACTATATTGATACAATATTAGAAAGCACTCCTTTTCGCGGATATAATCGTGTGAACTGATGAAGAAATTATATCTTTCCCCCCCCCGACTTTTATTAATTTCTTTCAAATATTTTTTTCTTTTTTCTTTATTCTGTAAATTTTTCTATGTTTTCTCTACATTTTGAACTTATCTTCTATTAATTTTTTTATGCTACTTCAAATAAAATTGATAAATTAACTAAGACATGTTGTAAAATTTTAAACTAAATATGTTTTGTTACAGAATAATTTATTACCTCTTTAGAAATATGGACCACTATTTTTTTAAATAACATCAACAAGCACTTCATTCTTCAAGTTCTATAAATGAAAAATGCAGCTAAATTTATCTTTTTGGTGCAAGGAAAAAAAACTAAATAAATAAACAAGAAATGCTCTTAAATAACTCTGTGATACAGTATGCACGTTCTTCGATACTTAAAATTGTTTCATATCCACTGATTTCTGTCTTCTTTAATTTTTACATGAAAAATGATTAATTTTTACATGGAATTAGTTGTATTTTATTTTCATCAGTTAAGACATTAAAATTTTCCAGTTAATTTTTTTAACTATAAATTAACTTTTCTCTTTGCTAAAAAAAATTATAAATGCCAAAACTGTTTTAAGAGTTCATGAGTTTATTAAAAAAGGAAATTTACGTTATTAGAAAAACAAAATGCAAGGAATATTATAGTGAACTAATATTACTTGCATTATAATTTTAGAGCTTTCTGAATTTGTTTTCAACTAAAGTGGAATAGTCTTTAAAAAGAAGTTCAAAGAACAATAACTCATTTTTAAATAGTTTACGTACTTCAATTTTTTATTATTCAATAATTACACATCCTACAGTTTTGTTGGGTAAAACTTTTTTACAAGGTCTTTCTAATAAAATTTTTGTAAATGAATTTTAATCCATTATTCAGAAAGCGATTTTGATTCAAGTTTTAACCTGTCATATATATATTGCATGATATAGACTGAAGCAGTGCAATAACACCTTATAAATTTGTCAACAGATAATTTAGTAAAAATATCTATCAATAAAAGTGCGTTTTTTACAAATCTAACAGATAAGACTGAAAAATATAGTTTACTGCAGATAATAAGAGTTTAAAGTTTTAATAAAATGTAAAAACAAAAATTTATCAAACAAACTGAAATAGATTCTTATTTTACTATTACTTTTTCTTACTTTATTATGCCTGTTATAATCAAATAAAACAAATTATTCAAAAACTAGAAAACGATTAATTTGAAGATTTTTACTAAATACTTTTCTATTTTCAAAATCTTATTTATTCACTGTAAACAAATATAACAAATCTAAAACAAAAGTTACAGCTCTAAAAGTTTTATTGGGCCCAAGAAAGAAATGGTCTTCCTGCAGCCAGATTAGGAAAAATTTTTTTCCAGCCCAAACCAAAAAAAAAAGGAAACAATAAATTTAAATATGAATTTTTATTTCTTTCATTTACCAAACTATGATAACTTAACATGTTAATAAACTGAGTACCTTGATAATTTTACGTTTTGCAATTCATTCTTAGCAAATTATCAATTTCAATAAGGTAAAAACTTCCTAAATTAGCACTTGATCTTGAACTATTGCTTAAATTGCTTAGAATTTGATTTATACTGCCATTACTAACTTACTTCTCAACTTAAATTAGTCTAAAACAAATGTTAATGTTAAGGAAGTAATTATTGTTATTTATAACTTGATACAGATACGAACTATGAAAATAAGATATTACACATTTATTTTTTTAAAAAAAAGTTTATTACTTATAAGTATTAAAACAGTAAATAAATAAGAATATCAGTCAAGAAAAATAATCAATCTTCCAAAATTTAAAAAAAAAAAAAAAATATTCAAGTTAAAAAATTTTGCTAAAATAAAAATTACCTTTCATTACGTCACCTTGCTTTAAATTATCTTCTGAATTCACAATTATTTTATGACTCAAAGGTAAGAAGCTTTTCATGAGTATCATTCCATGCAGTTGGCAGTTTTGAATTATTCCCTGAAAATTAATAAGTTTCAAAATGGTAAGAAATTCATAAAGCTGTCCTTAAAAAAATGTATCACATTTAACAATAATTAAAATAAATCAGAATTACTTTTTTTTTAAACTAAAAACTACTACAAAAAAACTTCCAAAAAAATGAAAAGTTTCCAAATTAACTCAAAATAAATTACACTTAGAAAGTTAAGAGATTATATGTTACTTAAAATAGTTGATCCAGGATTAGAAAAAAAATGAAATTAGTTGTTTTTTATTTGGAACAGTTAACACATTAAAATGTTTTAGTCAAACTCCATTTAACAATAATATAACTTTTCACTTGCTAATAATAATAATAATAATAATAATAATAAATGCTAAAACTATTTTAAGAGTTCAAGTAACAGATGAGTTTATTAAAAAAAAGGGAAAGTTAAGCATTGTTACAAGAAAAACAAAATACAAGGAATATTATAGTGAACTAATATTACCTCAAATTATAATTTTTGAGTTTTCTGAATTTTTTTTTAACTAAAGTGGAATAATCTTTAAAAAGAAGTTCTCAGGACAATAAATCGATTTCAAAGAGTAACGCACTTGAATTTTTTATTATTCAATAATTACACATCCTACCGCTTTGTAGGGTGAAAAAATTTTATAACGCGTAGCTAATAAAATTTTAGTAAAGGAGTTTTAAAACATAATCCAAAAAGCAATTTTAATTCAAGTTTTAATATGTCATATGTATTGCATAATTTAGACTAAAACATTGCAATAAAACTTTAAAAATTTATGACTAGAAAATTTTAAAAAAATTTGTAACAATATCATTCAATTAGTGTTCCACAAATTTAAAAAGTAAGAAAGAAAAATATAGTTTACTGCAGAAAATAAGAATTCAGAACTTTTAATAAAATGCAAAAACGAACTTATAAAACAAACTGAAATAGAACTTTAATGTATTTTTCTTATATTACTCTGCATGGTATAACTATTAAAATATTTTATATCTTTTAATTCAATAAAACAAATTAAATAAAAACTTATAAACAATAAATTTGCCAACCTGAAGATGATTGACATGATTTCTTTTCAAACTTAAAATACTTACATTGAAAGTATAATTGAATGAAAATCAGAAACAAAACCTTCCACTCCAATTTTTTGTTAATCAGTTATAAATAAAACCTAAATAATTATCAATAATCATTCTAACTAATATAAAATTTTTCTTCCAAAACTACATTAAATTATAAAAGGGAGACATTTTACAGCTAATATTCTAGAAGGTCAATGCATTTTTCTGACAAAATTACATCAATACGTGAACCTAAGCTAATTAACTGTGAGCAGCATTTTCTTAAAGTAATTTAATACTATACTTTTGTCCACTTTTAGGTTGTGAAAAATATTTACATTATTGCATGATTAAGGTTAAAAGAAATTTTAAGCTGCATCCACTGCGAATTTTGCAGACAAAATTAAAATAAATTTTAGAAAATCTCAAGACAGACAAATTAACAGTAAAAAAATAACAAATGTAAACAAAATAACATTATTAATCAGACAAAATTAAACATACCAAAAATCTCAAGACAAACAAACAGTATTAAATTAACAGTAAAAAAATAACAAATATAAACAAATTAAAGTATAAAATTACAGTATTAAACAATAATTTAATACTACACTTTCTTTTTTTTTAATAACTGTCCCAATTTTTGGGCTTACGACTACTAATGTTCAACTCCTTAGCCTTGTAATTTTGAACCCAATCCAGAAGACAAGGGAAGTCCCAGATAATGTATTGGGAAAAACTTGATTTCGTGGAGGACTTTTTGATAGAACTAGCCCGTATTTGCGTTGCATAAAGTGGGAAACCTCTCACAGTTAGTTAATACTGCCTTACTACTTCCGCTTCATAACTCGATTTCAATTTTATAAGAAATATTAAACATTCCTTAGGGAGCTAAATCATTTATATTTAAATTTAAAGTACTTACTTATTAGTCAACATTGTTTATTTTAGAATTTATTGTAAGAAAATTAAAATATGAAATTTTTTAGTCCTGAATTTTATTAGTACCAATAACTAGTTTATTTTGATTTTAAAATTATTTTTTATTTTTTCCCAACTTTAAGTGACATTTAAAACTGTTTTAAGTACCTAAACTATTGTAAACCAAAGCATTTCTTAACGCATTTTTACTCAATCAATATGCCAACTTTACAGGTAAACAAAATGTTTGGCTATATTGTTAGGCAACAAATGAAACAGAAATGTATGACATAAATTTTCCACTGAGTGACGCATTTTAGCATTTGCTAAAAATAATAATAAAGGACACAACTATTTTAAGAGTTCAAGTAAGAGATGAGTTTATTTAAAAAAAAAAAAGGAGAATTTAAGCATTGTTATAAGAAAAACAAAATACAAGGATTATTATAGTGAACTAATATTACTTCAAATTATAATTTTTGAGTTTTCCGATTTTTTTTCCAACTAAAGTGGAATAATCTTTAAAAAGAAGTTCACAGAACAATAACTCAATTTCAAAGAGTTACGTTATTTTTTATTATTCAGTAATTACACATCCTACAGTTTTGTTGTGTAAAAATTTTTTACAAAGTGTATCTAATACAATTTTGGTAAAGGAATTTTAATCCACAATCCAAAAAGCAATTTTCATTCAAGCTTTAATTTGGCATATGTATTGCATAATTTAGACTAAAACGGTGCAATAAAATCTTAAAAATTTGTCACTTGACAGTTTAATGAAAATGTGTAGAAAAAATATCTTTCAATTAGTGCGCTTTCCCACAAATCTTAAAAATAAGACTGAAAATACAGTTTACTGCAGAAAATAAAAATTTAGAACTTCTAATAAAATGTAAAGACGAACTTATAAACCAAACTGAAAAAGAACTTTAAAGTATTTTTCTTATTTAACTCTGCATGGTATAACTAATAAAATATTTTACATTTTTTAATTTAATAAAACAAATTAATTAAAAACAGATGAACAAAACATTTGCCAACCTGAGGATGATTGACAAAAATCCTTACACATAAAATATAATTGAATAAAAATCAAAAACAAAACCTTCCACTCCAATTTTTATTAATCAGTTTTAAATAAAATCTAAATAATAATCAACCTAATTAATATAAAATTTCTCTTCCAAAACTACACTAAATTATAAAAAGGAGAACATTTTACAGCCAATGTTCTAGAGGGTCAATGCATTTTTCTGGCAAAATTGCATCAATACCTGGACCTAAGCTAATTAACTGTGAGCAGCATTTTAAAAAGGTAATTTAATACTATACCTTTGTCTATTCTCAGGTTATGAAAAATATCTACATTATTGCATCATTAAAGTTAAAAGAAATTTTAAGCTGCATCCACTGCGAATTTTGCCAGACAAAATTAAAATTTTTTGAAAATCTCAAAACAGACAAATAAACAGTAAAGAAATAACAATATAAACAAAATAACAGTATTAAATAACATTATAACAGGCAAACAAACAGTATTATATTAACAGTAAAAGAATAACAAATATAAACAAATTACAGTATAAAATTACAGTATTAATCAGTAGTTTAATACTACACTTTTTTTTCCTCATAACTGTCCCAAATTTTGGGCTTACGACTACCTTATAATTTTGAACCCAATCCAGAAGACAAGGGAATTCCTGAATAAAGTATTGGTAGAAACTTGCGCTCGTGGTGGTCTTTTTGATGGAATTAACTCGCATTTGCGTTGGATAGAGAGGAAAACCTCCCTAAGTTAGCCTGAGAGCAAGGGAATTCTGATCCATGATCCTTCTACCATTGAGGATATTTTATGTCAGCACCTTATTCGGAGCGAGTCGGGTGCGGAATTCGTACCGACCAGCCATCACTGGAATTTGAACCAGATTCACCTCATTGGAAGGAGA